GGCCCTGGCCCCCGACTGGGAGTGGCTGCGGCCTTGCTTGCTGACCTTGATAAGATGTCCTCCCTATTCAGATTCCCTGCCGGTATCCACCCTTCTGAATGCTTAAGGGAAGTTCCTTGTTGTGTATCCTGCATTTTGGGCGTTAACTACTTAGATGCTAGATTGTAGAACATTGAGTCTGGAATATAGACCATTGACAGCGAACTTCTGCCCTCCGAGGGTTCCTCCATTTGTGCTGTAAGCCTGTACGTATTTAAGGTTTCTTCCCTCTTTCAATAAACGGCATTCGACATCCAAATGTACGAATGACTCGCTGTCTCTTGTCTCTATTTTTTAATCCGCAGCCCTTCGCTCGGACATGGTGAACGGGTATTGGTAATGCGGGCATTACCGCTACATTGTACCCCAAAGCTATTGGCAGAACAAATTCCGACACTAGAAGTCATTTGAAAGTCCTTCTCTGGGAGACATTCACTTGGAGACAGAGCTTGACAAGTTGGTGCGTGGTCTGATTTCTGCTTGAGTCAAAGCTGTGGGAGTCAGCTCTGAGCTCAGATGTCAGTAGAACTGGTGCCTGGAAGTAAAAGCCAAACAGAGCAGCTTTACTGGGAATATGCAGATGAAGGAAAATTCAATTAAATGCTGGCAGAAGGGCAATCCATTGCTCCACTGAGTCAGAAATCATTCCCAAACTGGTGATTTCTTCTCTGCTGACTGGGATGGGCACCTAGCATACAGTGGATTTTTGTTAAAGTATGAATGTCACCTCAAGCTCTTACTGGAAGCCCAAGGAGTATTGTGAAGCTATGTAAGTCATGTGCCATACTGCCATGGTGAGGTCCCTTTTGCCCAACTAGAAAGGAGGCTTTTGTATGGGTTATTTATGGGCTGAGGATTGGCACTTGATTGTTAGAGGGCTTGTCTAGTATTCGTGAGGCCTTGAGTTCAAGTCCTAGCATTAAACAAATTGGACATTGTAGTGCATGCCTGTAACTCCAGCACTCTGGATGTGGAAGCAGGAGGACTAGAAGTTTAAGGTTATTTCTTGGCTACATAGACTCTGAGGCCAGCCTGAGATATTGACAGATACAGTCTTTCATCTGTATCTCCATCTCAACAAAACAATCCATGAACTTCTTTAACCACATACTGCTTTTTAAAATATGCATATACACACTATATTATATATTATTTATATTATATTAATTATATTTTTATTTTTAGGAGTGTTCTCTAATACTGACACGTATACACACTATATTATATAATATTTATATTATATTAATTATATTTTTAGTTTTTTAGGAGTTCCCTCTGATACTGACACTTATATACCCTGTATTTATATTATATTAATTATATTTTTAGTTTTTTAGGAGTGCTCTCTAATACTGACACGCTTCCAAAAGCAACTCTCCAAAAACATAGAGGGAAAGAAGGGGCAAGGGAGAGCATTGGAGGAGGAAGAGGCTGGGAAGGGAGAAAAAGGAAAGAGGGAGGGAAGAAGGGAGAGAAGGAAGGAGGGACAAAAGGTAGAGGGAGAGAAGTGTGGAGGGAGGGAAGGAAGAAAGGAGGGAAGGGTGAAGGGAGGGAAGGAAAGAGGGAGAGAAGGAGGGAGGGAGGGGAAGAAGGAGGGAGAGAAGGAGGGAGGAAGGGGAGGGAGAAGGAAAAGAAAAAAAACAAAGAAAAACACAAGGAGGAGGAAGGGGGAGGTTTATCAGGGCAGGTATTTTTCTACTAAGCTTGACTGAGAGACTTTGGGGACTTTAAGGAGAGAGAAGAGGTTCAATGTCTTTCCTCATTGCACCTAGTGCCCAGTTAAATTTCAGGTGAATTAAGGGACTGATGGAGCTGAGATGGCACAGTCAAGACGTCTTCAGTCTATACTACTCTGAGGACAGTCTACTTTAACCAATCAGCCTGTGAAACATCCTCTATGTGATTTGATATTTACCCATTGATGTGGCTGAGGAAACTGGATTCAAAGTACGGGTTTTTCCAAAGTCAGAAAACTAGGAGTTTTCCAAGTTGGTAACTCTGCTTGGGTGACTCTATGGTTTATTAAATACCCTTTATGCTTGCATTTCTTTTATTTACTTTGGTTACTCTATTAAAAACAGGAGGGACTGAGATGGCCAAGTGGAGAGAGGGACAGAGAAGGAGAGCAATGAAAGGGATATCTTGGTATAGGGAATGATTAGGGTGTTAGGGAGAAACCTGATGGTAGGGAAAACCCCATGAATCCACAAGAGTGACACCAACTAAGACTCCTAGCAAAATGCAGAGGGGGCCTGAACCTTTCCCTATAATAAGATTAATGACTACTCTAATTGTCATCATAGAACCTATATTCAGGAACCAATGGAAGCCGATGCAGTGATCCACAGCCAAGCACTGGGCTGAGCTCCTAGACTTCAGATGAAGAGAGGGAGGCAGGATCACAGAAGCAAGTGAGGTCAAGATCATGATGGGGAAAACCCCAGAGACAGCTGACCCAAGGTGGTGGGAGCTTATGGACTCTCGCCTGTCAGATGGGGAACATGCATGGGACCAAACTAGGCCCTCTGAATGTGGGTGACTGTAGCAGGAATCTTAACAGATCTTATTAATAAAAACAAACCCAGGACCAGGTATTGGGGTGAATGCTGGAAGATCAGAGAAGCAGAACAAACCACAGCTACCTCACCTCTCCAATTCCTCAGCTGATCCTGTTTCCTCAGACTGGAAGCCTCTAAGTCCTCATCCAGAATGAATCTCAGCTGAACTGTTGCTCAAAATCCTCAAAGCTTAACCAGCCTCTAGTTCCTGGTCCTCATGCCTTATATACCTTTCTTTTTTCTGCCATTACTTCCTGGGATTAAAGGTTCACTTCCTGAGATTAAAGGCATGAGTCACCATGCATGGCTATTTAGTTTATTAGGGCGCACGATATTTTGGAGAACACAATATCACCACAGGTGACAGTCATGTGGCTAGATCTGTTTGGATAACCTCTAGCAGTGGGACCAGGACTTATCAGGAGTGTATGAAATGGCTTTTTGGAATACGTTATGTAGGGTGGGATACCTTGCTTAGCCTTGACACAGAGAGGAGGGGCTTGGTCATGCCTCAACTTAGTGTGCCTGACCTTGGTTGACTCCACAAGGGAGGCCTTACCCTACCTGAAGAGTAGATGGGAATGGGACTGGGAGAGGTGGGCAGGCAGGAGAAGGGGAGGGAGGGGAAACTGGGATTGGTATGTAAAATGAAAAAAATAAATTTTTAAAAATATTGATATGGTGGTGAAAACTTCTCATCCCAGAACTTGGGAAACTAAGGCAGAAGGGCCATGAGTTCAAGGCTAGTCTGTGCTGTATATCAAATATAAATGGAAAAAATAGAAACAGATAAATAGACAGACAGATGATAGATAAAAAGATAGACGATAGACAGATGACAGATAGCATATATATATGTGTGTATGTATGTATATATATACGTGTATATATATGTATATATATATATGTGTATATATATATAAAATTAACAGATAGGTAGATGGGTAGATAGGTAGATAGATAGATAGATAGATAGATAGATAGATAGATAGATAGATAGATAGATAGATAGATAAGTACAGATGATAGAAAGGATAAACAGGCATACGAACAGCGAACAGACTCTCCCTGAGATGGGGCACTTAGCCCCCAGGATTTGAGAATTGAGGACCAGTGTATTTTACTAAAATACTAAAAGATGATAGTTGGTAGGAAGATAAATAGATTATAAGTATATATTGATAAATAGATTGATAAGTAGGCAATTGAGATAGATTGATAGGTGATAAAAACAAAATTAAAAGATGCTAAATTAGAATCTTTCTTAGTCCTATAACTATATATTTTAAAAACATTTAGAATGATTTTCATATTTACATCATCCTAAAGTTCTCCTTGTAAGTTTTGCCAATGCAGAGAATTCTTCTCAGTTATCAACTGGAATAGTGCTGTGCCATGCAAACCACAAAGCTGGTCTCAAATATGCACATAAGGAGGGATGATTCCCTGAATAGTTCTGACTCAGGGTAACCATTACAGTGAACATCACACATTTCTGTGCAACCACACAGTCTTTTCCTGAGAAGGACAGATGCTCCTGTGACTTGGTTGATTTCTTGTGGCAGCCTGTGTGTCATTTGTGGCCCTGTATCTTTTGCAAATTATCTGATCATGTCAGAGGTGGTTTAGAGTGTTCTCCAAACTCAGACAGTTAAGGGTAAATATCAAGTTAGTATGTTCTGAAAGGCTGCCCAGCTGAGGGCCAAATGTATTCATCCAGAACTAATTAAAGTTTTGTGGAATACTTTCTAGCTTATGTTGAAGAAAATCACCAAATACAGTAATGTGTTAAGTAGATGTCTTATTTAAAGTTGACAACTGACTATTTTTTCATTGTGGATTGTAAACTTACCTGACTAAAAATCATAACTGTAACAAGCCACAAAAACTGTATTTTAACTTATCCAATTTCTCAGGACTGAGGTTGTCTTAGTTGTTTTCTATTGCTGTAATAAAACACCATGACCCAAGGCAACTTGGGCAGGAAAGGATTTATTTCAGCTTACAATTTCTGGTAATACTCCATCACTGAGGGAAGTCAGGGCCAGAACCTGGAGGCAGGAGCTGATGCAGAAGCCATGAAGGAATCCTACTAACTGGCTTGCCCTTATGGCTTTCTCAGTCTGTTTTCTTATATACCCTAGGACCACCTTTCCAGGTGAGGCACCACCCATTGAGAGCTGAGCTCTTCCATACCAATCTTCAATCAAGAAATTGCATTATAGACTTACCTACAGTCCAGTCTATTGGGGGAATTTTCTCAACTGAAGGTCTCTCTTCCCAAATGACTCTAGCTTGTGTCAAGTTGACATAAAACTAGGAACACAACTGACCCCTTAGGAACTTGACACACAACATTTATGTTAAACTATAGCCTTTCTCTTTTTGTTCCTACACAATATCTCATATTGATATTACAATATAAAACATAAATAACTTTAAAAGTCTCACAGTCTTTAAAAACTTAGTTTTTTGTAAACACACCAAGTCTCTTTCACTGTTCAAAACCCCTCCAAAATATCCCAAACATCTCTAAAATATTCAGTTTCTCTGAAACTACAATTTTTCTCCAAAACTCCCAAGGATCTTTAAAATTTCAGTCCCTAAAATATCCATAACCTCTCTAAAGCATCAACATCTCTTTAAAAGTCCAAAGTGTCTCAACTGTGGGCTTCTGTAAAAATCAGAAGGAAGCTCAGTGCTTTCTTAATCCACAACGAGAGAACCAGGGCACAGTCACAATCTGAACAAACCAAAACCTAAGAGCAACAGTTAAAAATATCCAGTGCTTGGAATCT